CATTCTTTCAGTTGGTACATCGTTATTCTCTTGGACTGATAATCTAGTGTCAATAAAAGCAATATTAATAAAGCCTTGTCAGCTATTCCAACTACGTCATTATTAATCTGTTGTTAGTCCAAACAGTTCTGATCTCTCTCTACTCTCTCTCTCTCTCTCTACATGCACACACGCACGCACGCATTTTGGGCAAAGTATATTAGGTGTTAGAGCTTGCGAACTATGGGCTACAAGAAAAACTCTTTTTGATGGATGTTAATAATCAACTCTAGATAGTGAGTACTTCTTAGTCTCTGGACTCTGACCGTAGGAAGAACCTCACTTTAGTCTTTATTAACTAATAAAATTCTTACTTTTTAGTGTCTGCATCATCTTCCTTTTCCTTCATCATATGTAATGGGTACGATCCGTCCATCTAGCTAGTTTACTAGTCGTATTATTACTCTTACTGAAATTCCCAATCTGAGCAAGAGATTCTAATATCTGAAACCATATGTCCAGCAGTGCTTTCCTTCCATGATTTTTTCATTAACTGGTTTTAATTTTGAAGAATCCGTCTATTATTAAACATTTTGCATGGAAGGTTGTGCAACCAATGTGCTCTTTCTCAATAGCGGTAGTTTTCTTCCTCCTGGTTATGTCTATCACGACTTGTACTGTCACTTCTATAAACCAGAAGGAAGAATAGAGCTACCCACATTATTTTAGATGTTTATAATTTATTATGTAGTGGACATTGTAATTTCTGCTTGAGATTTGTATTACTTACCAATCGAATTTAAGTTAGCTTTTTAGCTTAATAACTGGAAGCATCTTCCTGAGTTTGATGTCAATTGTTTGATTGTGAGGTCATATGATTGCCTTTTGAGACCAAATGTAATGTTCCTTATCTGTCAGTTACGTATTTTTGTTTTTTGTAGTTCTTTTAACTCTCTGTAATTTACAACTAAGATTTAGTTACATCTCTGTTGTAGGAATCCTGCCACTTTTCTCCATGCATATCCCTGTCTTCCCCTTGCTTATGCAACAAGGCAAGCAGCAGGTTTGATCTTGCAAGATATAGCTGATTCAGGAGTCTTGTTTGCAATATTAATGTGTAGACATAAGGTAATCTTCTAATTCTAAAGTTCTTGTTTTACCTTCTTTTGTCAGTCACAACTCCTTTACAAGTGTAATTAACCCAGTTGTTAGTGGTTTCCAGTCAAAAACATCATCAGTTGAACTTAAATGCAGGTTATCAGTCTTTTTAGTGCACAAAAGGCATCCCTTCATCCCGACGATGTGCTGTTACTCTCCAATTTTATTATGTCCTCTGAATCTTTTAGGCAAGTTCAGCTAACTTTTATATTCTCTTTCATATTCCCTACTTCCACCTCTCTGAAATTATGGGAATCAAGATTTGGTTGAGATCATTATGTCATAATCAGCTGTATAAATACATAAATACACTCAAACAAACATATATATGGGAACAAGACATGTTTCTATGGCGTTTGCCTGCCACCTTGGGTGTGTTGCTTGATGATTTTAAATAGTCGGTTATGATTTTTTTCCTCACATATGGAACTGGGGATTCAAAAATGGTCTGCTAAGAAAATGTTATTTGTAATCTGTTGTTTATGCCTTGGCAACTTTATTACTGTTATTTCATTATTTTACAAATCTTTATTCTGAATTAACATTGAATTAAATTCCTAGTTGAACTTAAAATAGATATGAGGCTCTTAAATGTATGACTTATTGTAAAACAGATTTTTTCTAGTGTTGCTAGATAACGTGTGCAATCTTACTTTTTGAAATCGAGAATTGAATATTGACCAACTGAATTAAGGAAATGAATATTGAATGCACAACTAGCAAATAGGCTGAAAGAGAGAATTTGGAGGGAAACTTCAATATCAATTCAATTTAATATTCAGAAGCCTCTATAATTAGAAAACCTACTCCAGTTTATAAGGTGCGCTTTCCTTCGTTGCATTGCATTGCCTTGGAGCCGTTTACTATGGTGAATGATATACTCACCATTTACAATCTTTATTCCTAGTTGAACTTAAAATAGATATGAGGCTCTTAAATGTATGACTTATTGTAAAGCAGATTTTTTCTAGTGTTGCTAGATAACGTGTGCAATCTTACTTTTTGAAACCGAGAATTGAATATTAACCAACTGAATTAAGGAATTGAATATTGAATGTACAACTAGCAAATAGGCTGAAAGAGAAAATTTGGAGGGAAACTTCAATATCAATTCAATTTAATATTCAGAAGCCTCTATAATTAGAAAACCTACTCCAGTTTATTCTCAAGATCCCTAATAAAAGGTGGAGAGTTACCTAACTATGAAATGCAATCACCTAAATGTAACCTAGTAAGTATGGAAAAGAAATAAAGAAAATCAATCAAAATAAATTTTCAAAATATTTCTTATTCTTTTGCCTGAAGTGAATGTTTAGTTCATGGGGAAGTCTTCCAGTTATATCCACTTTTTTTTTGCTTTTAATAAACATGAAACTCGGAGATTCAGGGTGTCAATTACATTACCTTATACTGTTAATAGTTATAAATATATGCCAATAAATTCCATGGAAGTTCATGGTGAAAATCACATAATAATTAGGTCTTTTGAAGTGAAGCTGATTTTTACGACTGAGATTATTGTTTCTGTTTGTTGGAGGTTTTATCTTTCTTTCTTTTTGTTTCACGCAGGACATCTGAGTCATTCTCGCCAGTTTGCTTACCAAGATATAATCCCATGGCGTTTCTGTATGCTTATGTGCATTATTTTGATGTAAGTAGACTAAAATACAACAACAGCTTCAGTTATTTAACACGTTTGAACGGCTATTCTCTTCTAGTTTTGAGATTTTAGGAAACCTGAATTTTGAGTACTCTAAATACTTTAGATGTTGATACCGTGATGGGTGGAAAATGTACGAAAATAAACAAAGGGAGATTGAAATACCTCTCCACACAAGTAAATAAATACATCAAAGAAATACAATTATCACCACCCAAAGGAATCTAACAAGGGATACAAGGCTAGGGAACTCAACACTTAATGATATCCCTCATAGAGATGCAGTTTGCATGTATTCTACTAATACATTAGATTCATCATCATTATTCAAAGTTTGTTGGTAGATAATTGTTGTGGAATACCAGTTTACAATTTTTTTTTCCAACATTTATCTTCCCATGGCTAGATTAAGACACTAATGTGAGAAGTTTGACATCACTTACTTGAAAGCTAGTAAATAAGGGAGTCATGCCTACTTATCAACAAATGATAAAAAATTTTGGATGACAGTTTGATACGTACCTGTTGCTGCTTACTACAAGTTCAGATGCCTTTTTTCATCTGAAGGACTGCAGGTATATGTTCATGTGATCTGCCAATGTTTCAGAAATTCATGATCCAATGGCTCTCCAATTTGTATTGCAATAATTTTTACATGGGTTTGGGGTTAAATTTTGTTATCCAAGGGGCCACAGGACGGCTTGTTGGATTTATTACTGTAGTCCTTCCACTCTTTGATAAAAGGAAAACTCTGGTATATCTTGTAGGATTCGTATTCAATCGGTACTTTTAAAGTCAAATGTACTGAGTGAAGCTCAAAGATCCATGCTAAATGGTGGCCTGCGTGTTGAGGATTTGCCTATGGAACCTGCTTCTATTATGGGATCCATGTCTTCTCATCTAGGTCAATCATGGCCTGCAGCAGATTCGCCGGGAAGGATTAGGGAAGCATTAGTTGGGACTGGTGGTCCTGCTGGGCTTTGGCATTTTATGTATCACAGTATTTATCTTGACCAATATGTGTCATCTGAATTTTCATCACCAATCAACAGCTTGACACAGCAGAAAAGGTAACAAGTCTCATACTGTTCAGCTTTACAATAACATTGTATTATCATCAGAAAGGGTTATTCTGGACAGTTTGATAACCAGGCTGCAAAATTGTTCTTGTTTTGCAGATTGTATAGGGCTTACCAGAAACTTTTTTCATCCATGCACGATCAAGGAAATGGACCTCATAAAACTCAGTTTAGAATGGATGAAAATTATGGTATATGTTTCTCAATAGCCTGGTGTTTTATTTTGGTGATTTTCAATGTTCTTTTGCTTTTCAGAATGATAGTGTTCACCGAGAATTCCTGGTAGACCTAGTTCTTTACATTGTTACATGATAAATGAACGATTCATTTGATAACATTTTCTTCATGTGAAAGGATCACTAAAATGTTTCAGTTGGTTAGAAGCTCCAAGATTGACCCTGCTTTGGCTTTTCACTTTTGCATAAATATATGGCAATGAATAATTTTGCTCATGGAGACTCCACAACTCAATAATGTTGTTTAGTATTTGAAGAGCTGCACCACCAGAACCATCAGCCTCATTCCAGGAGAGAAAACAGCATATAGTAACACCACCATGACATGATTCCCAACTCTCTAAATTGGCAGTGATGGTCTCTGTTGATAAAATAATTTCTTAATCACAAGGCAATCAACTTTATAATGCAAAGTTCCATCCTTAGTTAGATGAGTTTTTTTTTTTCTTGTCCAAGGAAGGGACATCAGCAAATGGATTTTGTGGTTACATGCTGTGGTGGTTTGGGGTTGGGTAAATTCCATTGGTCTTCATTTTGAAAAATTGCTTCAGTCGGAGAGGTGGCAGTGGTGGTAACTATGTCCAGTTGATGGTAGTTTGAGGTTGGCAATATGTTGGCATTGAAGTGGCAGTAATGGTAACTTCATATATTTGTTAGGAGTGATGTCAAGTGAAGCAGCCATGGCTGTGATGAGAGAAAGAGGCTGAGGGAAGAGAGAAATACAATCTTCATTGACTTGAGTTGGGAGACAAATGATTTTATAATGGACTACAGTGTCTTTAATAAAGGATAGATTTGGTGAAAAGCCCAAAATTTTAGGAAAGGGTGTTTTACTTGTGGGCAATCCAAAAAGGAAATGTGACTAAGGGAGTATTCAATCATGGACAAGCATAATATTTTTTTTTTTAATTGGATTTTATTCCTCTTTTTTTTGTTGATAACTTTTTGCAGTGGTTTAGTTTGTCAATTTTGCACATTTATTTTGTAACTCCTGATTGTGAAGTTTCTAACCAATCCATTGACATTGCAGTTTTATTCTGCTGGGTCACAGAAGAATTTGAACTATATGCAGCGTTTGACCCCCTTGCAGAAAGGGTAAGATAATATCACACTATGAACTTCGGTGGACTGGGTTTGAAATTGCAGTTCTCTTTCCAGGGCTGTTTTTGATGGTCAGATTATATATCTAGAATTAAATCGGACATATCCTGATGCATTTTGATAGGTCTAGGTTAAGAAATATGATTTGTACCGTCTCAACTTATACATTTAGCTATATGGATCCGACAACTACATTTTTGCAATTATGGTGCATAATAGCTTGTCTTACTGCAGCAGCGGAAACCTTTACAACTTGGAAACATTATGTTGCCCTACCTTGCCTCTAGATTTGTATTTAGAGAAAAATTTATCATGTGCCTCATGCCTTCATGCCATGGCTTATCATGTGCTGTTTATTTGAGACCCTGGGGGCATTGTGTATTTAAAAAAGAATTAACCGATAAGTGAGCTTGTAGAGTTTTGACTAATATGTCATAGCTAGGTAATAGATGCTTATCAAAAAAAAAGCTAGGTAATAGATGAGAATCGATAGTGGGTCTTCTGAAGGTTTAGTGCCTGTTTGAGCTCCATTTTTTTGTGTAAAATGCATTTTGAAATAGTAGATGGAGAATGTGTGGTTAAAAATGAAGAAAAAGTTGTTGGGTTGCGCATAATATTGTTTTATTAAAAAATGTGTGTTTGAAAGAAGAGAAAAAAATGTATTTTAAAAAAAAATGGGGATCAATCAAGGTATTAGTGGTATCTTCTGCTCAATTATGATTTTCCTAGATCAAGTAAATTTTCTGAAACATGGAGCTCATTTGGAAGAGTTGGAACGTAGAAAAGCACATTCGCTCTGCCCACATCTGAGAGACCCGCATCTTGTGCAGCATCTCTTTTGAAGTTTTATAATGTTGCCTGAAATAGATTGTTCTACGAGTTCATGGCATTCAAATCAGGCGTTATTTTCTTCTTGTTTTTACCCTTCAGCCCAGGGATCAAAGGTTGAAAATGATGAAAGGAGAATATTTGGTTCAACTCAGATTTTTTCTTTTCGTTGTTTCAATTCTGCTGCCAATGGAGGAAGGCTAGAAAATAATGTGATAGGAGAAGATTGTCTCTGAACTTGGAATTCTTGTGCAACTTCTATTCAAAACTAGCGAGCATTATATCTTAAGCGAGCTTGTAAAGGCAGAGCGATCCTGCAAATTTTAGTTATATACATTATCATCATTCTTAGTTATGATAAATTGCATTGCACCTTGCAGGATTCGGCAATAAAGACGTGCAATCGGGTTTGTCGGTGGGTGAAAGCTGTGGAAAATGACATTTTCTTGTTGGGAGCAAGTCCCTTTTCATGGTGATTCTTCCAAATACTATGCCTACTCCCACCTCTTGTATTTGTATTGAATAGATAAGGTATACTCATTCCCTCTTATAAAACATGGCCTAAGTTTTTGATAGGCTCCAATTTTTGTGTAGTTGTATTTGTACACACCTATATTGGGAGCACCCATAGGTGTTAGACCCGGACATCGACCCGGACAAGGTACTGGGTCTCGGGTTAGTGGTTGAACCAGTTGGTCAATAGTCGGATCGGTTAGGCAAATTATATTTTTTTAAAAAGTATTTTTCACTGGTTATTTAGTCTATAAAATAAAATAAAATGTTTGATCAAAGATTTTATAAAAATACTTTTAGGGTGTGTTTGATAGATATTATTGAGAAAATAATGTATTTTAAATAGTGATATGATGAAAAATATGTGGTTAAAAAATAAGGAAATTTTTTTAATGTGATGGAAAATATTATTTTATTGAAAAATGTGTAGTTGAAAATGAATTTTGAAAGAATATGTACCAAAAAAAGGCTTAGAAAACATATATATATGAATCATTAAAAAACATTGAAGTATTCTACAGCTCTAATGGTTACTTAGACTCGGCCTGGGCAAGGTCCCTGGTCACCGTGTCGGGTCGAGTCGAGTTTTATAACTGTGGTAGCACTTGTTGTAACTTTACAATTTTCAGATCACTTTCGCGAGTCTTTCTATCAGTTCAAGGCTTGATCAAAATTTCCTATTGAAATCTTGTGGGGGTAATTTGGGGAATTGGTGAGTCAAAGCACAGATGATTAAAGTTGTTCCCCACTACGACAGTAAGATTGACTCCTAAAACCGCGTAAATAACCACACTAATGCAAAAGATACACATTTAATGAATGATTTTGTCATTATGAATCATGAAGTGGACATAAAAGAATATTATACAGTAAATATGAAAATTTACGCTACCCTACTATGGTCACACCAAGACATAATTTAGTGCAGTAAACTAATTATTATAATGTCATCATATTTATGATTACAATTGTGACTGACTGAGTTGTAGTGCTAAAGTTAATACAAAGTGGTTGTCTGAGCTTTTTCTTTTTTTTTTTAAGAAAGCATTTTGCAATAGTATTATGATGGATAATGTGTGGTTAAAACCAAATGAAGAGAGAGAAATTGCTTATAAGGTGGTGTTCAATGTAAAGCAAGCTAGAGTAAGCCTCGCACGACTCACAAGCAATATATGACCTGTTTGGAAAAATTATGTTCTTGTTGGTTTGGATAAAATTAAGGGCGTGTTCGGTAGAGATTAAATTCGGATTAAAATTGAAAAATTAGTCGTTATTGTTGACTTTTATTAGACAAGTGAGACTCAATAACGGCTATATTTTTAATTTTAATTGAATTTTAAGCTCTACCAAACATACTCTAAATTAGTAGTAACTTTTGATAAAAGTTGGTGAAATCATTGAGACATCTGGTTCTAAAGTTGATAAAAATTATGAATCTTATAAAATGTTCGATTGAAAATAAGTTTAAGAAAAAATGAACTTGAAGCGCTTTGGTTAAACATTGGAAATTAGACTAGCCCTCGTATCATAAGGCGGGCTATTCATACTATTTGAATTTTAGTTTCATTTTCGGAAACTATCGATTTTTCCTTTATATCTGGGATCTTATTCACCTCTTTTAGCTTCTATTGAATCGAGAAATAGGTTTGATTGTCCATCTTTTTATATATACACAAGACATTAGCTCTCCTTGAAAAGGAGGTGATCCAGCCGCACCTTCCACTACGAGAAAACATGATTTGGCTCAGGATTTCCCATTTTTATTAATTCTGGCGCTTTCTTTGTTGAAAAAAGGACAAATGGTTTGATTCGACATTTTCTAAGAAAAAGCCCAACATATTGTGAACAAAAAACTTCAAAAAAAGTAACAAAGGGTCGGTTAGGCATGACACAACTCGGGACATATTAAAAACAGATACCTAAATTGTTCATAGTTTCTTTATTTATGATTTGTCATGCGTGAACAAGGCATCCACCCCCACCTTCCAAAAGTTGAATGTCTCCTCCCCTAGACTAGACTCGAAAAGTAAATAGAGTTTATTTTTTTCATTTGTATCCAAATAACATAGGACAATAACCTAATTGATTTTTTTCTTCTTTGTTCAAGATGGGATTGACTCGACTCGATCTCGCTCCTTTCATATTTCTTCTTTTCATTTTCTTTCGATCGGACTAAAGACCCTCAAATTCATATTTCTTCTTTTCATTTTCTTTCGATCGGACTAAAGACCCTCAAATTCATATTTCTTTCTTTTCATTTTCTTTCTATCGGACTAAAGACCCTCAAATTCTTCATTCACACTGAGCTACTAATTTATATACTATTTAAATAATCTACGTAGTAAAATTTTGAAAATCGAGGGGAAGAGAAAGAGAGAGAGAGAGAGAGAGAGAATACATGGAATCTCATTCATTTCCATGCACATTAACGTCCAGTAGAGTTGACTCCCCATTTCATAATCATCATTAAAACCCACCAAAAAGAAAAAGTTCCCCCACTACCCACCTCCACCATTGCCTCCGCCACAAATCTCTCCTTTCTCCGCCTAGGAAAATCACAATTTCTTACTCCGACCCGTTAACCCTGTTGCCGGATCCGCTCCAACTTCGCTTAAAGAATCATACAAAGAAAGAGGGGGTGAGATGTATAAGAACCAGCTGCAGGAGCTGGCGCAGAGAAGCTGCTTCAACCTGCCGTCATATACGTGCATAAGGGAGGGTCCGGACCACGCGCCGCGATTCAAGGCCATCGTTAACTTCAATGGCGAGGCCTTTGAGAGTCCCAACTACTGCTCCACACTCCGCCAGGCCGAGCACTCCGCCGCCGAGGCAGCCCTCAACTCCCTCTCCTCCAGCGGTCCCTCCCACTCACTCGCCGCCCGCATTCTCGTACGTTTTCTTCTCTTCGTTTATTTTCATTTCTGGATTTGTAAAAAAATGGACGTGATTCAATTTCCCCGTTTCTGCTAATGTGCGCCTTCCCGATATTCGATTTAAATGCATTTTCATTTCTTGTTCATGTTGTTGCCTTGGAAAAGCCAAGAGCGCTAACGTGCGCCGCTTTCTACATGGAGAGGGGGTGGGGATGCTAACTTACGCCTATCCGAGTCGATGAGTACGGTCCGTTTATTAACTCACCGATCAAGCTGGTGGCCTTTGGCTTTTATGTTGTGAAATTACTAATAAGTCCCTGCCCTGTTTCTGGGTGCATGGTTAAGAATGATTTTAATACAGTCCAAGTCAAAAGAGGAAGACTAGTGAAGTTTCAATGAACCATTGTGAATGGACCATAATTAATCTTTACCTTTCATTAACAGCTGTTCTTGTTGCTGTTGTGTCATCATTTGGATTAATGGGAATGGGGTGTTTTATTTTTTTCGATAGTCGAAAGGCATAGTCGTCGGGATCTTATCGGAACACAAACCAGAACGAAGATCCAAGGCTCGAGCACGGGAAAAATACTTCAACAGAGGGGCATTTTGTCATTTCATCAATTCGCAATAATTATAATTAAATGTAGGTTGGACCATTCAAAGTTTGGTATACAAAAAGTAGATAGAAAATTGGGATTTTGTAATATTGAAGTGATATATGATGAAGACCCCATTAGGTGAATTTAGCTGACTAATGATTAATTTACACTTATAAATGTGTTAAGTAAGAATACATTGAAAATGCAGTGTATGTACCTAATTATCATTAAGTAAGTGCAATTTGGAGTCTGGCACATGTGAGGGGAGTGTTTTCAAATTGCATAAATTGGATTATAATTAATTTTCCGATTATTTTTTGGTGTATGATAGAGATGGATAATTGAAATTGTTGACTTTGGTACTAATTTTTAATGCTATTTCAGAGATGAAGTTAAGTGTGAAAAGAGTTGAGATTTTGAATGGAGATGTTGGGG